GGGCGAGAGGGCTGGGCGAGTCCCCTCGCGGGTTGTGGGGTGGCTGGGTGAAGTGCCGTGTTTCCGTCAGAGCTGCTCGCTCCGCTTCCTCTTTAATAAGAAAAAGAGCTCGCGGAGAGGGTGTGCTTTCCTGGGGCACCACTAAAACCAGCCCACGTGGCTTCCCCAGGTACTCCTCTACACATCCATTGTGCTGAGTCGTTATCTGAGTAGGTTATCACGTGCTTTTCGGAGAGTTACGGTGACAACGAGCAAGTTCGGATCACGGGTATTGAGATAACTGTTCACCATTTACAGATTTTTCTTTTGATTCTTTAACAAGCTCGTGCATGCGTCTTGTGGGTTTTCCAAACCAAGCGGGTGTAAGGTACGTGTGCGTGTAACAGATACGTCTTTAAAGCCACCGCCTGCCGCTGCAGAAAGCCGTAGGGTACAGATATTCTTGCGTACGCACCTTCTGTCCCGCACCGGAAGGCTCAGGTTGTTGGTTTGCAGGCTCCTTTCCAGTCTTGCATGGCCAGCGCTCGAATTGAGCTGTCGGAGTTGGGCTGGGGACGTTTGCAAAATCAGACAGTGGTTTTGCATAGAAATTTGCTGGCAGTCTGGCCCAGTATGTGTAAAGGAAAATACAAGTTTGGGAAACTGAAGCATGCCAGAAAGTTATTACTTGACTAGCCTAGCCTGCTTTTTGCAGTCCTTGCTTGGTTTCTTCCTGTTAATTATCCCATATTCTTTACAGCTTGGCTCTAGATTTGTAACTCTATCTGACTTTTGCTGTAGTCAGGACTTCCTTTCTCAATGTGTTCGTTTCTTCTGAATGCCTTGTTTATGAGGTGCCAGTTGACTGGGACCCAAAGACCTAGAAGGTCCTGGCAAGCTTCACAGAAAAAAGTGTGTTATCATACCAGGCCGGAGCTGGCTAGAGAGAGTGGATTCCTTGCTCGAGGTGATTTGGGAGACGACAGCATCAGAGATCCTGAACCTTTTTTTATTCCCACTCCCCTTTTTTTATTCCCACCCCATTCTAGGAGGGTGCTGCTAGAATGTTGGCTGCTTGCTCTCACTGTCTGTGGCTGTAGCACGGTGTGTGTGGTGTAATCGGCTTTGGTAGGAGAGCACTTGCTGTGCTGTGATGGTGTTCTTGCAAAGTGCATTATCTCTAACAGTAAGCAGCTCTTGTTAGTCTTTTGGCAGTGTGCAGTGTGCTCAAGGGAGCCCAGCTTTCCCCCGGGGAGTTAAAAGTTCCAGTTTCAGCCAAGTATCAGTGAAGTCTCTCTGAATTCAGCTGCTACTTAGAAGAAAACTTGTTTGGATTTCTTTTTTGTCTGTTTGTTTTGTGTAGAGGAGTGTGAAGCTCTCAAGTGTTCATGGCAGTCCTAAAACAAAGCAGCCAGAGGCCGGGGGAGAAACCTGTGTGGCCAACAAGAATTCAAATTTGATGCGATGTGATTTTAAACCATTCATAAAATATATTAAGCTCCCATTGTGACAGCAAGCAAGTTTGTACTTTTTAACAAATTCAACAGAAACATGGGAGTGTAAAGTCTAATCCTTTAAAAAAGAATTTTAAAAATGACTCTAAAGCAGATCTAACTGACAAGTAGATTACAGATACTCATCTGGCTTGTTTTAGACTCTTCACATCTAAAACACATAAAAGTGAGGTAGCATAAATAAAAAGAAGGATTTGGGATCCATATATGTGTGTTGGAAATATAGATGTAGGACAGGTACAAAGCAGCAATGATATAATTTTAATAGGAATCATATATTGTAAAGAGGTAGGTGTTTCACTTATTTTTCTGCTGCCTTCTCCTTGAGTATTACAACTTATTTTTTGTGTGTGCTGGAATAACTCATCAAGGCTGATGGGAAAGGCTGAGAATGCAGAATTTAATGAAAGCGTGTGCTCATAAATACAACATATGAAATAGAACGCAGAGTACATTTCAAATACCTCAGTACTGGGAGGAAAAATTAATATGTGGAACTTGATAGAGCTAAGGTTATTTGCCTGAAGACCAACATGCATGAGAAGACCTCCGAATTTCATTTTTTTTTTTTTTCAGGTAAAAAGGGAAACAGTAGTAGAGTGGCCTGTTCTTCATTACTGAAAGCAAGAGGCTAGTTTTGGGACTGTGCTCATGAATTTTGTGTGTTGACACTTCTGTCAGTCTAAGTGTTGGGGTGTGCACGTGCTTGTTTTACTACCCTGCTGTAGAAGCCCTTTCTGTCTCATCTCAGACCAACAACAGAAGACGTGGTGCACTGAATAGAGTTGCCCTGGGTCCTCAATCTAACCCCATGAGACACCACTTGGAGTTTTCTGCGTTATGTATGACTAATAAAGTATTTTCAATTAAACTGGCATCTTGAACACTAGCTTTGCCTGGCAGATAATGAAATTCTTGTTTCTTTTCTAAGGAAGCTGAGATGAAAGAAGCCAATCATGAGAGGTCACGGGAATTTGTGCTGCCTGTCTCCACAATTAATAACAAGTAAGCACTATGTGATACCATAGGATGGGGGTGGACCTGGTTTCTGTTAGTGACAGATGTCATGCAGGTGAGGAACACTCAGGTGATTCCAGACAAATCTCAGAAAGGGTGGGCTGCAAAGCCAGCCTGCAGCCGGAGCTGGAGGAAGGTTACTTACCACCTTCTAGTCCTGGGTGCATCCTGTTAGATCTTCAGTCCCACAAGAAGCCCATGTAGAACTGCAGTGCAAAAAGGAGGAGACGTTTGAAACGTCCTACCAGAAGTGTAATTCAGCCAAGGGCACCGACTTTGACCTGCAGTGGGAAGATGAATCACAGAATCACAGAACAGTAGGGGTTGGAAGGGACCTCTGTGGGTCATCTAGTCCAGCCCTCCTGCCGAAGCAGGGTCACCTACAGTAGGCTGTAGAGGACCTTGTCCAGGCCCATCCTCCTGACACCCACCCTGCAGATATTTGTAGGCATTTATAAGGTCCCCTTGCAGCCTTCTCTTCTTCAGGCTGAACAAGCCCAGCTCCCTCAACCTCTCCTCGTAGGGGAGATGCTCCAGTCCCCTCACCATCCTCGTAGCCCTCCGCTGGACTCTCTCCAGTAGCTCCTCATCTTTCTTGAACTGGGGAGCCCAGAACTGGACACAGTACTCCAGATGAGGCCTCACCAGGGCAGTGTAGAGGGGAAGGAGAACCTCCCTCGACCTGCTGGCCACAATCCTCCTAATGCACCCCGGGATCCCATTGGCCTTCTTGGCAACCAGGGCACACTGCTGGCTCATGGTCACCCTGTCGTCCACCAGAACACCCAGGTCCCTCTCCGCAGAGCTGCTCTCCAGCAGGTCCACCCCAAGCCTGTACTGATGCATGGGGTTGTTCCTCCCCCAGGTGCAGCACCCTGTATTTGCCTTTGTTGGACCTCATCAGGTTCCTCTCTGCCCAACTTTCCAGCCTATCCAGGTCACGCTGAATGGCAGCACAGCCTTCTGGTGTATCTACCACGCCTCCCAGTTTGGTGTCATCAGCAAACTTGCTGATGGTACATTCTAACTCTTCATCCAGGTCGTTGATGAAGAAGTTAAACAAGGCTGGGCCCAGTACTGACCCCTGGGGGACACCACTAGTTACCAGCCTCCAACTAGACTCGGCGCTGCTGATGACAACCCTCTGAGTTCTGCCATTCAGCCAGTTCTCAATCCATGAATGTTTACAATGCTTCTCCTCTGAATGCTCTGAGGAGCCTCAAGAAGGGATAAGTGAGAATGATGAAAGCATTGTTCTTATTGATGCTTTTGGGGAGCACCTGGAGCATCTGGAGATGCTTTGATCATTTCCTTCATTTTGATAATTGTATCAGGTTGAAGTCGAAATAGGTGTGCAGTTGTTGGATATGGTAAGGACTAGCTGGACTCAAGGCATCTACGCTTGTAAGACTGACATGTTAAATTAGAGCTTTTGTGTGCACATGTTCTCTAAGTTATGGTGGTTTTGTCTGTACTATCCCCACCCTCTGGTGCTGGTTTTGCAGAAGTGTCGCTGTTGGGCTGCGCAGCCCTCTTGGCCAGAATGACTTATCCATCCCTTCTCTCCATACATCCCCTCATGTTTTAGTGCATTCATTATAAAAAGCATGATTTGGGTTTTTAAAAGATGGCTGTTTGTCATCTGCAGTCCACACAAGCGTGCTTGGCTGGGGGGATATTGGTGCTGTACGTGCTTGTACATTACTGGAGTTTTCCTTACAAGTACTGATGAACAAGGGGAGGGTCACGTGCTTGTCTTCCATAAGGGATGTGGAAGGGGTATGTGATTCCATGCATCTTGGATCTAGGTGGAAGAAAGCCTTTACCCTGTCCAGCTACTGCATTGCAGTAAGAAACCTCCAAGCAATTTAAATTCAGAAAAATGATAACAAAAATAATGAAAATCTTCGGATGTTTTTTCCCTAGTTTGGGAGAGTTGGAATGACAGTTCTTTCTCTGCAAGGTTTGCCATACTAAGCTGCATGTGGGTTTCTCATGGATTCAATGACTGTCATTACAGGAATGCTGCTAATTTATTTTTTAACTGCCTAATGTGAAGAAACTGAACTGCTGCTTACTGTGCTCTCGGAAGCAGCTCGCTTTTCTGTGTGAAAGGAGTAGCTATGTTTCTTTTTCTCACCCTCAGCTCCCAGCAGAGTAGTTTCTGGTTTCATATTTATCTTTAGAGAGATCTGTGAGATCACAAAAATGTAGAACTTGGCGTATTCTTATATGCCATATTTGCATGCTAGTAATGTAAACTCTTGTTCATTTTTAATTTCAGTTCTGTATTTGCTGTTAACTGTAGAAGCCCGTTTCCGAAAGTGAGAGTTTTGTTAAGACGGCGAGATGGCTGTCCAATGTGCAGCAGAACTACAGCGTTGAAGGCAGGAGCAGTCTCCGTGAGATTACACGGTGGTGTTGGAGACTAGTTTCTGCTGCAGGAAGAGCAGAACTTGTCGGTATGGTAACAGGGGGGCAAATGCAAGTGCTGAGGGGACTGGGTTAGGGACCATGGGTTGTAGGAGAACAGAAGCTGTGTGGAGGGTTCCCAGCAGTGCTCCTGAGGGATTGGACTTTGGATGGCTCCTACTGAACAGTTGTGTTAGTGATGGGAATGTAAAAATGGACATGTGGGAATGAAATGCGCTGATGTGGAGTATGGACAGGAGGGAGGGCTGCAGAGCCATGGGAGAATGAGAGGTCTTACAGAAATGACAGTAGAGAAATGGTGAAAATTTCTGTTCTGGATTTGTTTATCAGCTGTAAGGGATGGTGGAAAGGAGTGTGAGAAGGCCTATGGACCACGATTGTACTGCAACTTTGAAAAAGGCAAATGGGATCCCATGGTGCGTCAGGCAAAGGGCTTCCACTAGAAATAAGGAAATAATGCTGCCATGAAAGGCCCTGGTGAGAGTTTGCTGAAGGTACTGAGTGCCGTTCTGGGCACTCAGGGTTAATAAAATACTCATTCTAAGTGGGAGTGAGGCACGGAAGCAGGATATGTGAACAGAGCCTTCAATACAGGAGCAGAGCCCGTTTCCTCCGACAAAGCAAACCTTGAAAGCGAATCCAATCGGCACCAAACCCCTGTGGGAAGACAGACGGTTATTGCCATCAAGGAGGAAAAAGAAAAGCCAGCTGTGAATTGCTGCAGGCTGGAGATGGGGAGAAGGCCTTTCACCAAAGGGCCCAGCAGCTTGGTTCCGGGGTGCAGGAGGCAGTGGTGTGCTGCCGGGGGTGCTCAGCCCCGTGCAGGCGGTGAGGAACGGTTCCTGGTCTCGTGCAGGCGTTGGGGTGAAGTTGGGGGTGACTTGAGCCATTCTGTTCCAGGCAGCGACTGATGGAGAAGACTAACTCAGCTTGTTTTCTGTATCGGAGCAGAAGAAAGAAGCTCTCGAAGGCAGGGGGGTCCATGAGTGCTGGTCGCTCTTTAAACAACACTTCTTCCATGCACAGGAGCAATGCATCCCCCTGAGAAAGAAATTTAGCAAAGGAGGCAGGAGACCTGCATGGTTAACCAAGGAGCTTCTAGCGGAGATCAGGCAGAAGAGAAAGGTCCATGGAATGTGGAAAGAGGGACAGGCCACTTGGGAAGAGTACAGAAACGTGGTGAGAGCATGCAGGGATGCGACGAGGAAGGCCAAGGCTCACCTGGAATTGAAGCTGGCAAGGGATGTCAAAAACAACAAGAAGGGCTTCTTCAACTACATCAGCAGCAAAAGGAAGGCTAGGGACAACGTGGGGCCGCTGCTGAATGAGGAGGGTGTCCTGGTGACGGAGGATGCGGAGAAGGCAGAGCTAATGAATGCCTTCTTTGCTTCAGTCTTCAGTGCTAAGACTGGCCCTCAGGAATCCCAGGCCCCGGAGGTAAGAGAAGAAGCCTACAAAGAGGACGACTTTCCCTTGGTCGAGGAGGACTGTGTGAGGGATCACTTAAGTGATCTGGATGTCCACAAATCCATGGGCCCCGATGGAATGCACCCACGAGTGCTGAGGGAGCTGGCGGATGTCATTGCTGAGCCACTCTCCATCATCTTTGAGAGGTCCTGGAAGACAGGAGAGGTGCCCGAGGACTGGAGAAAGGCCAATGTCACTCCAATCTTCAAAAAGGGCAAGAAGGAGGACCCAGGGAACTACAGGCCGGTCAGCCTCACCTCCATCCCGGGAAAGGTGATGGAGCAGCTTATCCTGGAGGCCATCATGAAGCAAGTGGAAGAAAAGAAGGTTATCAGGAGTAGTCAGCATGGATTCACCAAAGGGAAATCATGCCTGACCAATCTGATAGCTTTCTACGATGACATGACTGGCTGGGTAGACGAAGGGAGAGCTGTGGATGTTATCTACCTTGACTTCAGCAAGGCTTTCGACACAGTCTCCCATGATATCCTCCTAGGGAAGCTGAGGAAGTGTGGGCTGGATGAGTGGTCAGTGAAGTGGATAGAGAACTGGCTGAATGGCAGAACTCAGAGGGTTGTCATCAGCGGCGCTGAGTCTAGTTGGAGGCTGGTGACAAGTGGTGTCCCTCAGGGGTCAGTACTGGGCCCAGTCTTGTTTAACTTCTTCATCAACGACCTGGATGAAGAGTTAGAATGTACCCTCAGCAAGTTTGCTGACGACACCAAACTGGGAGGTGTGGTAGATACACCAGAAGGCTGTGCTGCCATTCAGCGTGACCTGGATAGGCTGGAAAGCTGGGCAGAGAGGAACCTGATGAGGTTCAACAAGGGCAAGTGCAGGGTCCTGCACCTGGGGAGGAACAACCTCATGCACCAGTACAGGCTTGGGGTGGACCTGCTGGAGAGCAGAGAGGGACCTGGGTGTCCTGGTGGACGACAGGTTAACTATGAGCCAGCAGTGTGCCCTGGCTGCCAAGAAGGCCAATGGGATCCTGGGGTGCATCAAGAAGAGTGTGGCCAGCAGGACAAGGGAGGTTCTCCTTCCCCTCTACACTGCCCTGGTGAGGCCTCATCTGGAGTACTGTGTCCAGTTCTGGGCTCCCCAGTTCAAAAAAAGCGCAGCTTGTGTCTCGAATGAAGCTGGCCTTTCTGAGATGTGAATAAGACCTTTTGCTTAACGCACATTGCTATAGTGCCTTTATAACCGTTTAAACCTGTTGAAACTAGACAAGTTTGATATTGATGTGCATGTCTAAATACAGAAATATGTCTGGTTTTATGTATAGGTTTGTATAGATATTTGTGCTTGTATTCAGAGAAGTGTTAGCCAGATAAAAACAGTCAAAAGGAAGTGAAGAAACAGGGAGAGAAAAGATAATGTGGAAAAAGTGGCTGTGAGTGGGAAGGTGGGGGTCAGAGGAGCAGCGAAGGTATCTGTCAGGATGGGAAAAATGCACTTTCTGAGGTTTGGCTAGCAGGTCTAAAGCTGAAGGCAGGTATAAACCAGGTGAGTGAAAGCTCCCTGTGGAGCTGTCGTCAGCGGAGACTGCTGGGACAGATCTAGAAAACCCCATGCTAATCTACACTTTGCTGTGGCATAAAGGAAAGCGTCTTCTTCACAAGATAGTTTGTGACTCAGACCAGTATTTCTGACCAATTGCTATTGCTTGTATTTTCTGCTAGCAAGGTTGATCTGCAAAGGGACTTTACCCAGAGAATTTGAAGCTGTTCCAGTGGGCCAGCTCTGGGAGGTTACTAGCTGTGCTTTCAAGCCTGGGAGGATGATTAGTAAGCTTTCAGGGCAGCTGTTTCATGCCTTTCCTTGCGTATGTCTTCTTTGCATGGTGCTAGCACAGAGTAGTGGCACAGGGACCCCAAATATCCTCTAGACAGCAACGATAATGGGAGGCCAAAGGCGCTCCCCAGACCCCCCATCCATACGTTGCTTCTGGATTTGGCTGTTTGACTCATGCAGTTTCTGGGTCTCATTGCATTATCTAACTAGTTTCTGAAAGAAAACTCCTTATGACTGGTGCTTCTAGTTCATGTTTAGCAAGGTAAAAACAAGGATAAAGCCATGTATCCTTGGAAAAAGACCCGTGGTGGGGGCAGCTATGGTGTAGGACTTTGCCTAAAGTGTTTGCGCCCCAGAGTTCCGAAGATCTCTCATGTTTTGGTGAATTTAAAATGGAAGCTATTAATCAATTTATATTTTTTGTGAAGGCTGGATTATGATAGAGGATTTAACTTCATTAAACATAGTCTGTCTGTATTTTGTATGCTGAATGTGTATTTTCTACATATATCATAGCAGATGATTCTGTTTCTCCTACTGCATAACTAATAGTCTGTCCCATTCTTTTAATCAGGAAAAAGTCTTCACTGTGGTAACTTTATCTTAGGTTAATATCAGAAACATCACTGATAAAATGTGTGTTTTGTTTTCTAGGGAGGACTGTAAAGAGAGCTGAGAATGAGATGGACTTACCATGAAAGACCTGAAGCTGTTGGTATACAGATCGTCGATGAGGTGCAGATGAACACAGCGTACGCCTCGGAGGATGGATGTGAACGTGGACTGGGACTCTGAGAATAACGTTTGTGACACAGGTGAGGAGCATTCAAATTATTCCAGAAAGACCACTGAGCAGGTGGGCCGCACATCTAGCCTCCAGAAGGAGGTGGACATGAATTACTCGCAGACATGCAGTCCTCGTTGTAACTCTGCTGGACCATCAGGTAAGCAGGAGCTTCCTGCGGAGTTGCAGTGTGAAGATAAGGAAACCTGTGAGACCTACTGCCAGAAACGAGGTGAGAGTACAGCTGGGGTGTTTGTTCCCTCCAGTACTGACTTTGACCTGCAGTGTGAAGATAAAGGGTTAGAGCACTGTTCCTCTGAGCAGTCCAAGAAACCACGGAGAAGACTACGTGATGATAACAAAAATAACATTCTTGCTGATGTGTTTGATGAGGACCTGGAGCCCGCCTCGGGGGAAGCTTTGCCGTATCGGTGCAAGAAGTGTGGTTCCTCTTTCCAGGGCAGGAGCGAGCTGCAGGAACATAAGCGAACTCACCTTGTGGAAAACTCATACCGATGTCCTGTCTGTGCCAAAGAGTTCTTCCGTGCGGCAAATTTGCGAATGCATAAGCTCATTCATTCTAGTGACAGGCCACACAAATGTCCGGAGTGTGACAAGGGTTTCATTCGCACCGCTGATGTCTGGAGGCACCTACGCAATGTGCACAAGATCGAGCGCTCCATGGTGATCCTGGGAAACGGCATGGCTCGGAACCCGTGGTCGACAGTGCACCGTAACCAACACGCTGTTGAGTACACCGACCAGCCTAGTGCAGAAAACCAAAAGTCCGAGGAAGATGACTATAAACCTTACACCTGTCCAACATGCGGCAAAGGTTTCGATAAGCCCA